GTGGCAGGACTTGAGTACAACTTCGGGGAGAACCAAACACACCAACAAGGGCTTAACATACATGAAGAATGTACCATAGATAAGTCAAAATTACAACAGAAACATGGATGTGGACGGATCACTTCTGAACTACACGAGTATCACGGCTTTTTTCCCCACCATAATAATGTCAACATGTAATGCAATTTCTGTCTTATAGCATATACATGAAGATGCTGCGAGTAGTTTTCAATACACCACGGTGGAAACGTAGTACTAAATGAACAGTTATACGGATTGTTACCAAATGTAACTAAAGTTAGAGTTTGAGTTAAATGTCGACGACTAAGCGTGGCCGGTGATGATGATGATAGCATTTTTGGGCACACATTTCTAGTGTAGTGAGTGCTGGAGTTGTACTGGGTTGTAATATGGAGTTGTATTGAGTTGTAATGTGGAGTTGTACTGGATTTGTACTTACCACCCAGGCTGCCATGTTGAGCCCCAAGTTAAAGGGAATGCCTCCATAGTAGAGCTGCTCCTGTACCAGGATGGATGGCATGCCTCGCCCCGTGACATTGCGGATGTAGACGTCACATTTGGCGGCTGCTGGAGACAGACTGGTGTTGGGCATGATGGTGAAAGGAGTGATGGAGGCGCCGGCCTGTAGGTTCAAGCCGTCCCTCAGACTTATCGGGGTGACAAACTCGGGCAGGTTTTCCCCCATGGCTGCAGGATGTTCTCAAACCTCACAAACGAGCCTGCAAAAACACATGTAGTAAAATTAGCTTTCAGTCTTTGTGCTCTAATACCCTTCCTAAATTTTGCACCCCCTATTTAGCCTCTGGCAGCGAGACACTGTAGCACAGGCCATGACTCTTCCATACACATTGGTATACCACATAGCTTAGACGTTTATTTGTATTCTAAACATATATCCCAATCACAGCCACCTCAGCCAGGGACATATCCCAGACATGAAACAAGTGCTTGCCTACATCTGCGAGCCTTCCTTACCATATATGGAGTCATCATGGACTAAGCATCAGTACACCTTGTGCATAAACACGAAGGCTACCTGACATGTCATGTACTATGTACCAGATAAACCATGCAGGATTTCTACCATTCTGACATGTTGTGTGCATATTTTTTCTGAAGTAATGTACCAAATACTTAATATTTATGATTGGTTCACTCATAGTTTCTAAAAGGAACTTGAAATACAAAAACAGGAACAAGATTTTAGTTTCTGAGACTCAATTTCCGCATGAAACATGTCCTGCATGGAGGATTTAATTTCAATACGTTTCAGTATCATACACTAGGTACTAGTATATTATCTTACAATGAATCCAGCTGATTCAATCTGGAAACTCAAAAAAATTCATCTACAGGCACCAGCCATGATGAGAGTCAGCAATTTTAGTACATTAAACACAGCAGTAATCGCATGATAAATTATTGTCTGGGATGCCTGAATGGGAGCTGCCAGCAGGAACAATCACACTGTCCTTGGGGCTTACTTACCCTTTTAACTGAAGAACAGGACCAGAGTTAACCTACCCTTTCACTAGGGCACAGGAGTCAGGACATCTTCCGTTATTTCTAACAATGAAAAAGGAGCCATTCTACATGCTTGTTCCAGTTCCATATCAATGACTCAACCTGTCTTGTGACCAGTGGTACAATGAGGTCATTGACTCCTTGGTGGCCTTATTTGTCATACAGAAGTGTAAATACCAACAATGAACTCATGATATTTTTATAGAAATTAATCATTTTGTATACACTAAATATATTAACATGTTACAAATTCTACCTTCTGTCCATCCTGCATTTTTTATTCAATTGTTCAACATTGTTGGAAGGGCAAATGGTCATTATAGATCTATAGTGGGCAGAATATATTGGCAATTATTTTTTGTATTTGCAAAATTCATTATATATGAATTGTAAACTCCTGTCCCACAACAGAACCATGTCCAGCCTTCAGGTGTTTTAAGCACCACTTGGGCTGGGTGTATCCTTAAATTTATGACTGATGCCTGGAGGCAGGGCTGAAGCAACTATATGATTGTGAACACAACTACAACCTCCAGCTTATACTAAGTTATAGAACCCACAACTGAATGATGCACAAGACATAAGTGTCATTAAATTTTAAAAACCTGTCTGTGAGGCACAAGATTTCTGCTGTGTAGCCAGTAGCCCTGACAACAGTCTGGCTTTCCATGTTCATTACATAAGGAACAGACATGTCATCCCTATCTGCTGGAATGAACCCAATCCCATTAATATTCTCTGTCCTTAATTTGGCTAATGCCACGGCTGCCCTACCGGCTGCCCTCCCAACTCCTCACNTTAGGACACAAACGTCCTAGTACAGTGAGGGCGGTTTCCCCTCGCGATGGCCCACATGAATGATTTAGCTGTGTTTCTGTGTGGCGGTGAGACGGAGAGTTTGCCGATGAAAATGTCTGCAGGATTCTGCCACTCCCACCTGATCAACCGGTACCTGCACAACAGCAGGCCTACCAACCATACGCCTGCACACAAAGTACAAAAACTCAGCAATGAAATTATCAAACTCGCCCAAACTCCCGCAGACCGCAGATGGATGCATTATAAAGAAAAAACAGAGATATTGTGCCTACCTGACGCGGTATAAGGCGAGAATCTTGGGTTAAATTCAGGTCATTTTGGCCCCTCCGATCGTGGTGATGTCATTTCAGAACTCACCTGCAGGTGCGCATGCGCTCTACTGCTCAGCCTCGGTCTGGTACCGATCTTCACTTCCGGGATTGGGAAGGTCAGAAGCGTGGGAGGGAACGAGGGCGTCTAGGAAATATTTCTGCAGGTAAAGAAAGTTATAAAAGACGTATGTCGTGAGGTTGGTGTTTTATATTTTATCATGTTTGCACAGGTCCACTTCTGCTGCACTTCCACACGTCTGTGCACTGAAAACGTCACCATACTTTCCGCAAATCATGTCATTATGCCATATAATGTGATCAGGTTCAGAGTGGATGCCCAAGCTCCAAGCTCCATTGAATCTGATCATAATTTATTTGGCATACTGATATGATTTGCGGAAAGTATGGTGACGTTTTCACATTATATGGCATGCCTATTATCTCGGGTAGGCGGCATGGTAATAACTTGTAACTGTAACTGTATGCACAAAAATGTATAAATTGTAGGTGTTATGCAGTTATTTTTTGCTTGGAAGGTCTAGTTAACGTTAACGTACTAAGGCCAAGTGCGAGGTGTTTGGTACCATCTGATGAAAAGCCTTCATCTCCAAGCAGACGTAAAAGGGGCTTGTCTAGCTGCTGTTTCATTACCTTCGCCAAGAAGGTTATGTTTTCAGTAGCGTTTGTCTGTGTGTGTGTGTGTTTGTGTGTGTGTGTGTGGTTTAGCAAGATAACTTGAGAAGCAGTGAATGGATTGGAATGAAACTTGGTAGGTGGGTAGGTCTTCATGAGACCTAGAAATGATTAGATTTTGGGCCCCCTGACGGCTTTCCTAGGTACTGCAGCTGAACTTCCGGTTTTGATATCTCATGTTCTGGACATGCTAGGGTCACGAATTTTTGTTGGTAGATAGCTCTTGGGGTAGGGAAGAAGTGACATGAGTTTGGGTCCCCTAGCGCCTTGTTCTGGAACTGCAGGAGCATTTGTTGAAAAAAATTTGAAGGACGATAACTCAAGAACCGGTTGACCTATTGTCGTGATTTTTGGTATGTAGGTAGTTGAAGTGATGCTTGACATAATCAGATGGCAATTATGCAGATCAGGAGCTAATTTGCATAATTAATGAGGAAATTCTATAAATCTGCTTTGTTCGATAATAGAACTATGAAACACTTGTGACATCTACTTGAGAACGAGAAAAACATCTGAGGATATAGATTATGTAAATGAGGACCTAATTTGCATAATTAATGGAAAATTCTTATAATTCCATAGTTGTAACTGCTGCACCCCGAATTTCATACTTGCCACATTTGGAAGTTAAGTGAAGGTGAAAATCAATAAACATAATTTATTCAAATCATGACCTCATTTGCATGATTTATGCGGAAGTGCTATAATAGCCTTTTTGTTATGATAAGGCTGTCATTGGATGGAGAATATAATCAACTGATATAATCCATGCAAATGAGGCTCTTATTTACAAAATCAATGATTAAAATTGTATAATTCGTCACCCGCAAGGGTTAACATCATTTGGCGAAGGTATGAGATCGTGGAACTCTTGTTTGAAGTTCGAAGGTTGCAGCAGCCAGCAACTCCCCAGTTTACCACGCAAACTGTAAATGCAGAGGCTATTGTATTGACAGGATGTTCCTGTGATTAGCAAACACCTAACAATAAATAACACTAATCCTGACATGCAAAAAATAATACTCCGGGCTTATTCCTGAGCAAGAATAATTAACTGTTGAAAATTATATTTAATATTGCACTTCCTGTCAACATTAAACTTGCACTGTTGACAGGATATGACAGGATTGACATTTGGACACCAACTGTATTAAATAGGTCTTAATCCTGAACATACAATGCTTATAATGCCATGTTATTCTCTTCTAGCTCACCAGATGGCACTGGTAAGAGGTTTGGCTAGGTCTTCAACAGCAGCTGCAGCATGTGATCTC